GAAGGTCACTACGAGCTAACACAAAGGTCGGGTCCAATACCAATATTCCGTAAAAATTCATAACGACATAGTACAAGTAGTAAAAGAAGTATCTCAGAAATAAAATGCTCAACTCGTTCACAGAACAAAAAAATAGGCATGCTTTTCAAGTATCTCAGTAAAAATCCAAAACTTTTACCGAAATTGTCAAAAATACGATTAAGTTTGAAAACCTCAGATATTTCTCAAAAATTCTTTCAACAATAAGTAAGATGTTTCATTTTCAAATAGTGTGAGGAAAGTACATTTCTATGTCTACATGTCAAGATACAGGTAAAATCATAAATGTCACCAAATCGGGTAGCAGAAGAAAATGCATCTTTATGCACGTATCTCAGGTACGCATGTCAAATGAAGTGCCTCTCAATGATAAACTCATGTACTCACACTCTCAGAATATTCAATCTCACTGTCTCGCATTCTCTCTTACCGTACTCCATACTCAGCACACTTAATCACTTAGCACTGTACAATACTCGTTGCGGCGTGCAACCCGATCCACATATATAGACATAAGGCTCGTTGCGGCGTGCAACCCGATCCATATATAAATAGCCATAAGGCTTGTTGCGGCGTGCAACCCGATCCATATACATATATATAATCAGATGCGCTCACTAGGGGTGTGCAGACTCCGTGGGGCTCCTTCAGCCCAAGCGCTATATTGCTGCGGCGTGCAACCCGATCCCATAAACTGTAACCAATATAACACGCTGCGGCGTGCAGCCTGATCCCATAAAATATAACCAATATAACACGTTGCAGCGTGCAACTCTATCCCAAAATATCACTCTCACGCAAGCCTTCGGCCTTACTCAGTCATCCATCTCTCCAGTCTCACACACAGGCTCACAATGTCATGAAACTAGCCCGATAACAATGATATGGTATATCAATAAATAATAACTAAGACTAAGATATGATATAAATGATGAATATGACTAAATACGAAATATCAATGAAATTAGTGAGATGACAGCAAGAAACGACCACTATGGGTCCTAACAATATTAGCATAAAGCCTAAACATGATATTCTAGCATGATTGAAAGTTCAGTTACTTTATCACATGGTGAAAACACAGATATCAACAAAATAAGGCAGCTATACAGTGCCATAGAGACAACAGAGTCACAGAGTCACAATTCACAGAGTGCACGCCCACACACCCGTCACCTAGCATGCACATCACCTCAATACCAATCACACAATACGTAATTCGGGGTTTTACAGCCTCAGCACTAAGTTTAGAATAGTTACTTGCCTCTAATAAGCAAATTCCAATACCGAGCAACCCAAGCGATGCTCCAAGAATGCCATCTCGCGCATTCTGACCTCCGAACGGTACAAAACTAACCAAAAATAACTCAAATATATCAAACAATGCTAAAAGAACCAATCCCAATCGAAAAAGGTCGAATCTTTAATCAAAAGCCCAAAATCTGCCAAAAAGTCCAAACCGGGCCCGCACCTCGGAACCCGACAAAACTCATAAAATCTAATAACCCATTGAATTACGAGTCCAACCATACTAGTTTCACTCAAATCCGACTCCGAATCGATGTTCAAAACACAAAATTTCATATTATGAAACATTAGACCAAACCTCCCAATTTTCTCTTTAAAAATTCATCAACCAAAGCTAAAATCGAAGATAAATTAACAAAATATAACCAAAATCGAGTAGAGAACACTTATCTCAATTTATATAGTAAAAATCTCCTCTATGATTAGCCAATTCCGAGTTCCCCAACTCAAAATATGTTAAATAAATAAAATCCTTGTTTTAACATTGTTCTGCCTCCTTTCTTATGCCAAAGGATCTCGAAACTCACTTTTGATGCCTCCAATGGATTCCTTGTGAAATGCTAGTCAAGTTAGGCTCTTGAATCACTCCATTTGACCTTATATTGAAGGAGATATGTTGGTTTCAATATTGTGCAAATTTTTAAATACGAAATCAGTGGCAATTTCGTAATTGATTTGAAAAATCTAGCAACCTAATTCTTAGTAAAATGACCATAAACTCCTCATACGATGTCCAAATTCGACGATTCTTTTTGCTATGGCTCCGTAATTACGATACGGATCTAATGCTTCAATAAAAATAGAAATTGAAGCTCATTTGCATATTGTAGTACCATTTATGCTCGAAGAAATGACGTCGAAACATTAAAAAATCGAGCGCAACACAACCACATATCCAAACCTATCCAAAACTCACCCGAGCCCCTCAGGACCCTTTCTGAACATACCAACAAGTCCCATAAAATAACACGGACCTATTCGAAGCCTCAAATCACGCATAACAATATCAAAACGATGAATCGCACCCCAAATCAAACTTAATGAACTTTTCTAAACCTTCAAATTCTAATTTTCACCAATTAGTGCCGAATCTTTTTAGAAATATCCAATGCAATCCGGGTATACTTCTGAGTCCAAAATTACCATCCGGACCTAATGGAACCATCAAAACTCCAATCCGAGGTCAAATGCTAAAAAGTCCAACTTGGTCAAATCTTCTAACTTAAAGCTTCAATCATGAAGTGCATTCTTTCAAATCAATTCCGATCCCTAAAAACCAAAACCGACAATTCACACAAGTCATAATACATCATACGGAGCTACTCATGCCCGTAAAATACGAAGCAAAGTGCAAATACTCAAAGCGACCGGTCGGGTCGTCACAGAGACAATAACGTGTCACTCCTAAGTCTTTCCATTTTGAGGATTTGAACTTAAGGAATTATTCTCATTGCAGTACTAATCCAAATTATAACCTATTTGGCAAATTAACATCTCTACTTTAAGCTAACAATATATCAGTCTCAATTATATGTGATTTTCTACACGAATTCATCTGTGGAGTAAGAGATGTTGTATAGGGGCATAATGGATATTTACCCAGAAAACAACACAAATAGTTAAAGGATTTAAGTTATACACTACAACAATATAAAGAATATTTATATTAGTATGAAATGAGTTTAAGTTTTATGCACTGATCATTTAAAATATATTTGCACAATCAGGTTTTTTAAATTAAGGTAATTACAAGTAATTTTCTATGAAAAATATTACTCCATCCGTTTCAACTTAGATGATGTAGTTTGACTTGGCACAAAATTTAAGAAAAAAATATTTTTAAAATATATGATCCTAAAAGCTTAAGGGGTAAAAGCTTTGTGGGGTCATGATATTTGTGTGACCATAAAAGCTTCTCATTAGAAAGTTAGTAAAATGAAAAGTTTAAAGTTAAATTGTTTCCAAATATAAAAATATGAATAATAAGGAAAATGTGTCATTAAAACTGAATTAGAGGAAGTAATTGGGAACCTGGTAAGAAATGATAACTTGCTATCACCCATAAAATTGTACTGATAGTATAAAAATTCTTGCACTATCGATATATATAACTTAAATCCTAGTTAGTACAATATAACTTGACATAACAGGTAATTTATTTTCTTTTTATTATTGTCATATAAACAAACTTGCTAAGAAAAATTACATGTTATTTTATAGTTTAACTTAATCCGAGAGTGTAATTTTTTTTTATAGTTGACAGAACTAACTCTTGAAATCCCTCTATATCAAGAGTAGTAGAAACCCCTACTATTCTTGATTTTGAAATGAGGGGAAGTTTGCATTTTTCTTTTTTCAAATTTGAAATCTTTCTCGTTAGATTTGGAAAAAGTACTTCAAAGAGTTGTACTAATAGGTAATATTTCACTGCTTTTAATTTTGTAGAAGATTTTGCGGGGGATACTGGTTGGACTCTCTATAATGCATTTATCTTTCTTGTACTATAAGACTTTTTTTTATTTATATATCTTCAGAAGCAACTGAATTGTCCACAAATCTTGTCAGCGAAAAATGGACACAGGTGGGAAACAACATAATTTTGCAATGTAAAGCTGTCTTTAGAAAGTGGCCTTTGACATATAACAAATTGGAAATGTCAATCCCAAAATTCTTTTCGGTTACGCGATGGTATTTTGCCAATATTGGGTGCTTAATTAATTCTTTTGATTTCGTGTTTAATTTTTAGGAGTTCCATCCCAGGTTCAAAAACCACAAAGAATTCGTTTGTATTAGCATTTGTCAAGGATGTTTTCACTAATCAAGAACGAAAATTGGGGACTCAAAGACGGATCAAATACCGTCCTAGTCTCAACCATAAACGATATTGACCAGAGATCGGCAAATATTGTTTTTATTGACTCCGCTGGTACCTTATGAGAAATTAAAATTTTTGGATTTCGAGAACTATGGTCAAGGCTGAAACTTAAAAGGAATTAACGGAAGGACACCATCCTGTGGCTTAATTTGACTCGACCGTGTTCTGCGCAATGTAACAGTGCAGACACATTCTTTAGCATAAGGGTATTGTATAGTGGAACATCGCTCAAGTGATCATGTCCATGTAACTCCCCACTTTGTTGCTAATAAATTACCATCATCCTTAAATGGAAAGGTAAGAAGACTTCTTAACATGGTTGGTTGGACAAAACCCTAGTTAGGGTCAATATTTTAATGATTCTATTTGACTAAACATTCCCAATTCGATCACCTTGCTCTTACCTAACAACAGGAATTTTTTGCTTTGCTGCTAATATAATTCTCTTGATTTGATTGCCTTAAAAAGAAATTAAATCATGTGCCATCTGCACCTTCAATATAACCTTGATAACCGCCTTTCTTTTTAAAGTACTAGTAATAAGTTCCCACTCCCATATATAACAAAGAGATAGTAGAAAATGAAGTTGCTCATTATAGAAACTTGTGCTATTTTTTACTGCAAATATATACTGTAAACATATTCTTAACAGACTTCTTGGAATCAAAGATTCAAGAATTTTAGTGCTATTAAAGATTTATTTTTTAATAGCAAAATTAAAGCATTTTCAATGGAGAGTTGCAAACCTTAAAAACAGTAAAACCCTTTAGAAACACAGTAGCAAAAAACATGCAAATTACACAAAGCTATCCCATTCTTTACATGGAGCCTTCGAAGCTGAGGTTATTAAGTTATTCCCATCTTATTTAACATCATTAATTACTACTAAAACTTGTCATTATGAAGCTAAGATTTTATCTCGATAAATTAGGGATAATTCCAGAGATCTTGGTCAGCAATATATTCAGCAGCAGAAGTGTCATCGTCAGGAACGTTGAAACGTGGAGGACTAAGAAGCATACCTTCAGCCATATTCATAATAACATTTGGCATATCAAAGATCAAATCTTCATCCATAAACTCATTATTATTCCAAGGTGTTGAATTTTCTACCTCTCTGGAAACCGGTCTATTGTTGCTATTATCAACTCCTCTACGGGCGCCTAAAGCATCCCCGGCTGCCCCAAGAGCTGCAGCCGCGCAGGCTGCAGCCGCCTGAATATCACGAGGGGAGTTGGTAGTCGGGACAGGCAATGAGGATGCTGAGTTCGGGAAATTCAACTCAGCATCCCGGCCTTTAAGGGCCAGTGCTGCTACGTCATAAGCAACTGCTGCCATTTCCGGGGTAGGAAATGTACCAAGCCAAATCCTATTGGGTGATCGTGGCTCTCGAATTTCTGACACCCATTTTCCGCTGCTCTTCCTTCTCCTTATTCCTTTGTACACAGGGTGGCGGCCACTGCTTCCGCCACTGCTACTCGCCCCAGGACTGGACATCTGAATACGTTAAGTTAGTTCTAGTTGATAGTACTAGGTAATGGTTCAGTTTGAGTTTAAGATTCCATTGGATTACGGAAGCCATTTATGAAGGAGGTAATTGTGTGCTATTAGCCTTGAGCAGCCAAAAATGGAGAAGTGCAAACCAGTTGGTAATGAACTGCGAGGTGTAAGGATTTTGGGTGAAAGCCAGAAATGAGTTGGAAAAATGGGTTGGATAGCGTTTTCTCAAAAAACCGCGCACAATAGGTGTTTGAACAGTGGCCTTTTATACTTTAAAGATTAGCTATAACAGTACTGTTCTGGATTTATTTATTTTCTTTTTTATTTCTGATGAAGTGATTGATTTTCTGATTCGAACTAAAGAGAACTTCGTAGTGTTCGGAAGAAAGTCGGGAAATGTGAGACGTTGATATGACATTGTCTCTATGATGTCAGAATCATTGTATTCAGGTTTACCAAATTAAAGAATAGTATAAGATATGTATTTTATTTATACACATTTATTATTGTTTACCCGTAACGGTACAATTGAATTTGTTACATGATTTATAGATAGCCGAATTGATTTGATTCAAAATGATAAAAAAATTAGATTAAAAAATAAGACTTAACGCTAAAATCAAATGGAATAGCAGGCTTGACCGGGGAGCTATGCTTCCGAGGAAAGAAATAAGAGCAGTATAACAGAAAGTAAAGTTGTACTATTTAACTTGAGAATAGAATGTAGCATAAGTTATACCATATATTTTGTGTGTCTACAATGGTTGTTGAAACTACTATTTATAGCTATACCTAGGAAACAAAATCCTAGGAACAAGCCCTTCTTAAATGATAATAAAGGGGGCCATTGATGAATATGTAGCGGCAAGTCATGAATGTCAAAATTCTCTGTAACGGCTTCCTATTTAATACTAGGGAATATTCTTCATTAAATGTCATAAGGCGACAAATATTTGACCCGCTCACGTTGATTATGCTCTCTTCGGGGCCTATCGGATGTCAACTGCAGCTATTGCTCCCGGTCTTGGTTTTTACTCCATTTGTCTTCCGCCTGTCTACGGTTCCACGTGTCATGCTACCATTTGGTCATTTAATATAAATCAATTTTACCCTATATGAATAGCCTCCTTGCTTTCCGGTGACATATCTTTGTGTCATCAGGAAGTTGGTGAAGATTCCTTTCTTGGCGGGAAAATTTCTGAAACCTTTTGAACAGTCTTTGACGCTTTATAAGACACACTTCTACTTGCATTTAATACTCCGAACACATGTTGCCCCACGATTTACCAGTATTTTCGCCGGTTCTCGAGGTAATCATGACAATGATGTTAGTCGTCTATATCTTTTTATACGCATCATTTTATCTCTTTCACTTCTAAAAATTTCATAAGCTCTTTTATCCTCTTTGCACTTAACTTCCTTATGCTTTCATCTCTCTCCTATTTTCTTCACAAAACTCTATCATCTTCTTACTATTATGGATTCTTTCACTAAATCTTTTAAGAACTCTGGTTTTCTCTTCGGTGGAGGCCCGAAGTGAAGCAAAGATAAGGAGGTTGATATTGATGCTGAACCCCCTTGGTAAGAAAAATCATACGCAAAACACTTAAGAACTGTTAATGACTTCCAAGAGAAGTTCCCTTCTATGAATCCTCGAATTTATGCCGTTAGTAGGTATCTTCTTCTATTTGCCCTTCTAGTATTCCTACTGTGAAGGAGGATTGTAACTGCCATGACCTAAACATTATCACTCCTCACTTAATAGAGCAAGTTACCTTCTCCGAGAAAGGCTTTACTTATGTCTATACATATCCCTTCACCTTGGGCCCATTTTCCTTGAGCATGGGGGCTTGATCCCGTGATCTTAGAGTTCTGCCATCGATACCAGGTCTCCTTGGCATAAGTGGGCTCCTCTATATGGCAAATGGTGGCTTGTCTGCACCAAATGTGCGTGGAGACGGGAAAAACCCTAACCCTGGCACATATGATGAACCTCTACCC